CTTAAACTTTTACAACATAGATTTTAAGGAGTAAAACCTTTAAACTTAAATTTTTACACCATAGCTTTTAAGGACCAAAACATTTACACCATAGCTTTTAACGAATAAAACTTTCACACGTACCTGTCTTATACCAAGAGGTAAAGACAAGGCATATCCCACATGTAATAATGGGTAAAATATCCTCCGACTGGGGTTAGTTTACCCACTTCTTTCCTTATCACTACCCAAACATATTATATTTTTAAAAAATTCAGTCTTCCAGAAAATAGTAGGGATCTCTCAGTTGAGAAATTATGGAGGAAACGAAATGAATTTTCAAGGAACAAACAACCTTGTTTGTAGATGATGTAAATAGAATACACTCCAGTGGGCCCAGCACAGATAACCCATTACATAGCTTTGTGCTTCTCAACTAATAAACAACATATACCATATAGGTATTGTTTGTTTGGAAACAATAAACCTCGATACGTCTCAGTTGGAAAAATGTCAAAACGTCTGATGTGTGACTTGATGAAGCCTAAATAATATCAACATCCACTTAAGCCTAAGATATATTATACTATAGTAACAACATCCACTTAAGCCTAAGATATATTATACAAAGTATCAACATCCACTTAAGCCTAAGATATATTATACAAAGTATCAACATCCACTTAAGCCTAAGATATATCATACAATAGTATCAACATCCACTTAAGCCAAAGGTATATCATACAATAGTATCAACATCCACTTAAGCCTAAAATATATCATACAATAGTATCAACATCCACTTAAGCCTAAGGTATATCATACAATAGTATCAACATCCACTTAAGCCTAAGGTTTATTATACTATAGTATCAACGTCTACTTAAGCCTAAGGTTTATTATACTATAGTATCAACGTCCACTTAAGCCTAAGGTATATCATACAATAGTATCAACATCCACGTTTAGGTTCTGGTTACTAAGCCACGTAAGGTTTTAGGTTCTGGTTAAGAAGCAACGTGAGGTTTTAGGTTCTGGTTACGAAGCCACGTAAGGTTTTAGGTCCTGGTTACGAAGCCACGTGAAGTTTTAGGTTCTGGTTACGAAGCCGTGTGAGGTTTTAGGTTCTGGTTACGAAGCCGTGTGAGGTAATTAGATACTGCATACTTTTATCATAAAGAAAACTTAGAAACGTTAACAGCTTTATTAACAGTGAAGATGAGCTGATAGCGAAACGTTAACAGTTTTAACAGTTCACATTTCATGTTATTTTCATTTGAATCAGACAAAGTAACAGATAGTTGACATTTCATGTTATTTTTATTTGAATCAGACAAAGTAACTGATAGTTCATACTTCGTGATATTTTCATGTACTTTGTCTGATTCTCTGATTCACATGAAAATATCACGAAGTGTGAACTATCTGTTACTTTGTCTGATTCAAATAAAAATAACATGAAATGTCAACTATCTGTTACTTTGTCCGATTCAAATAAAAATAACATGAAATGCCAACTATCTGTTACTATGTCTGATTCACATGAAAATATCACGAAGTGTGAACTATCTGTTACTTTGTCTGATTCAAATGAAAATAACATGAAATGTCAACTATCTGTTACTTTGTCTGATTCACATGAAAATATCACGAAGTGTGAACTATCTGTTACTATGTCTGATTCAAATAAAAATAACATGAAATGTCAACTATCTGTTACTTTGTCTGATTCAAATAAAAATAACATGAAATGTCAACTATCTGTTACTTTGTCTGATTCAAATAAAATAACATGAAATGTCAACTATCTGTTACTTTGTCTGATTCAAATAAAAATAACATGAAATGTCAACTATCTGTTACTATGAGATAGTTGACATTTCATGTTATTTTTATTTGAATCAGACAAAGTAACAGATAGTTGACATTTCATGTTATTTTATTTGAATCAGACAAAGTAACAGATAGTTGACATTTCATGTTATTCTTATTTGAATCAGACAAAGTACCAGGTAGTTGACATTTCATGTTATTTCTATTTCAATTTAAATACAACATTTTTCTGCTTTACGAAACATGCGAAAATCGCTCTTCAGTCATCACGCAATGTTTGCTTCATTCAGGCTCTAGTCAGATGTGACGTAATTAACAACCTTTTTTTACTGTATGCTTCAGCTGGTGGTAGCTTGACAAGGTTATGATATCTTTACTTCTACATTTTACTTGAGAAAGAGAAAGAATATACAAAATTATCGTTTGTTTTAATTTATTTCATATTTTATTTTTAATAGGATAATACATCTTATTAATTATTTTATTAGTCGATAATCATCAGTTTAACCCGAACCTAGTTTGATAAATACAAATTTAGAAGAGATTTTTTAACAAATGGCAAGTTTTCTATGGACCAAAAATGGCCTCAAATTTAATGGTTTGGAAAATAGTACCAAAATAAAATTTTGCCGCAATGCATTTTCGTCCTGAGTGCAAATTTTCAAATTTCGGCCATTTTGGATTTATTACGTCATAAACACGACTGCGTCTTAAAGTCAAAGTCAGACGAAAAAAAACAACATTTTTTATGGTTTGATGTTGTATGAGCTTTTTTCACCCGATCGCCCCGGGTACGTTTTACTCTACTACACTAGATTTTAGTGTCTTATATTCAAGATTTTATTAAACTACGTTTTCTTTATGTTATACCAATTAGAATAGCATAACATCTTAGCTAATAATCCATATTTTAATAGCATACAAGTTTTAAGTTTTTATTCTACAAGGCAATATTAAAAAAAAATCCGAATTTTCACTAGTGTGATCCACGTGACACATTTTTTCTGATTATGTCATCATCCCTATTTTATCCACCACTACTCGTTAAACGTAAATTACTCTCGATAAAATCATTATTGCTCAGACAAATCAAAATTTTTGTTTGGTTACAGAGCTATCGAATAGAAAAGCAGACCCCTCCTTCCACACCCACCTGTTGCATCCTCTCTTTCACAATTTGTTGATAGTTTTATCTTACGTTTCATTATATATTACCTATAACCAATAGAAAGTCAAGGTTTTCATCTATTAAATTACATATTGTATAACGTTGTGTTCTGAACAGAATATCATCAATTTCACTCACAGTACAAGATTCGTTCTCGTGGGAAAGTTAACAACAAGCTTGGATGAATTTGTAACGACTCTTGTCCCATAGTTAGAAAGCCAGAAAAATTTTAAGAGGTAAGGGAATTTGTCTACTTTTTGCATGTTAATAGTCTATGTTCTTTGGTGCACTATTTAATTAAATAAAAATTATTAAGTGCATTATTATCATTACTATAAAAAATTAGGCTTAACTGTTCTCGACAATCGAGAGCAAGAAAAAAAGGGTAAATACTTTATTTCTTGTTTTTCATATTTATTCTTTATTTATTATCATAAAAATAGCTAAAATCTACATATAATAATATAATTAAGAGGGTTTACGAGTCTTGCATGCAAGCAGCTCGTGGGTAATGTAATTCGATAGTTAACAGTGACCTGCACGTTATCGGAGTGATTTACAACTTATAATGGCGCTGATAGTAGTTAGACATGGTTCAAAGGGCAATAAACCAATAAAATGTAATTATAAATAGATGTATAATGTTACGAACTTTGAGCTACTTAGGATAAACGAATGTAGTTTGATGTTACAATCT